CCTTGGTTGCTACATTCATAGACCCACATATATCATTATGGATGACTTTTAAAATGTCATAAGCATTATGAGCTTTCAAGATGGATCTCTTGTGTGTGATTCGTTGGCATGTAACGAAAAGGGCCAAAATCCTCAATATTACCAATGCAATGCATATCCATATGATAACCATGTTTTGGAAGTGAGCTATATATATATATAGGAAAAGGTTTCTATACTTCCCCTTCAGTATAGAAGATCTATGCTTCCCCTACCATCCAGCCGTCCAATTTTGATCAAGAGAACTGCTCTCTGTTTGATCTTAGATCCGACGTCTCAAAGTATTTTAGTTTTAGTGTTTTTTGTACAAATTGTATGAATATGAAATTTTGTACGTACCATCTTAACATTGGGGTGCACCTATAAAAAATATTTCTTTGATAAAACATAATGACCAAAATACCCCTTAAAACCTTTCAGGGGTATTTTGATTATTTTATTTTATTGAAAATATTTTTTTAATATTTTTCGCTAGTGCGAGTTTAATAGAGGATTGAACATCCAAAATTTGGTGTCAAAATAGTTCATATAAAAAACATTAAAAATAAAATAGTGCAAAGATAGGATATTGTGATTGGGGGCATTCTTAGCCCTCCATTCAAAATGGACGGTTGGATAAGGGGAAGTATATAAGTTTTATACTGTAGGGGAAACATAGAAAGCTTGCTCATATAGGGAAAGGTCTCTATACTTCCCCTACAAAATAGAAGATATATGGGAGGAAATTGAAAGTCTAAAATCTTAAAAATTGGGGATTATGCTTCTTGAAATAGCTAATAAAAAGTAATAGACTTAAAGCAAATTCTTTAATACTTCTAAGATGGGAAAGAGTTTGGTTTTGGTTGCAAGATTGGCTTAAGTGGGAATTCTACCGTTTTCGCTGCCAATAAATTTTGGCATTGTTGCATATTATTCACATGCCAAAATGTTACATCAAAACGGATACGCAAAATTATTCAAAAATAACCATTTTTTTGGCAAAAATTCCACTTCAACTTCTTCTAAACAGTAGGGAATCTTGAGCTAACACTTGAATATGTCATTTCTCTTGTCGAGAGATTCCTTTTAATATATAGCACGAGGGTATGCTAGCCCGGATGGCAGGAAAAAAAAGCTAGAATTTTCATGTCCATGCAAAACATTGCCCACAGGAACTCTCACCGGTATTTCGACGATATCTCCACATCTATTACACATCTCGGCACGAGATTTGGTACATTGCCATCATCATCCATAACCTTTGTTGGTATATTGTAAGTCACGATCAAGGAATGAATTGCAGGTTATCCAAGGCTCGAATTGTGTTCAATTTCATAAGGATGCATAAATTCACAATTTTGGAAATTTCAACAGGCCATAACTCGATCAGTTGGGGGCGCTTTCAATTATTCTTGATGCAAAACAATAGTGGTAACACCCCCCTTCAATTTTTCGGCCTCCATATAACAAAAGGAGACAATATACCAATGAAATTAATCAAAATAAGATTCTGAAAAAAAGTGCATAAAGCCCCAAAATCAAGAGTAGCCCAAAAGCTCCTCGGATCTTGGAGTTTCTGCACAAAATTTACTACAAAATGATTGTGGCAGCCCAATCTATATTTTTTCAGCGATAGATCATCCATTTCAGTGCCGAAAGATGAAGAACAAATAGCCCATACTATAGGCATGGGACGAGGCTTCTTTTTGGAGGACTTGAGTAAACATATGGCCACAAATTGATTCTATTTTTATTTTTATTTTTTCTTCTTTTATTTTGGTGAATCATTGGGGAATTTTTAATATTTCTACTATATGAAATCTAGGGTTTCCTACACCAAGCAAGTTACACCCAATAAAAGAAAAATGTTTTAAATAATAAGTAATTGAGATACCCCTAAAGTTATTTTAAATAAGAATAACCAAAATACCCCTTAGAGTTTAAGAGGTATTTTATAATTTCTTTATTAAAATATGTTTTTACTTTTAATGGAACCCCGAGTTCATATAAAAATAATATGAAAATATTATCAATTAAAAATGTGGGTCATGCGAAGCTCTGCTATTGGCGCAGACATACGAGAGAATTACGTAATGCCCCAAGGCCACGCATACCCTGTTGAAAAAGTCATTTCACGTGGCACTACTTTCAGCAATCCTGCCATATACAGCGACTCATACGGATTGTATATCGGGATTGCCAATAAAGACCATTTATTATTTAAAAAAGTTTATATAGAGCCAAGGCTCTAAACAATCAAATTGAAACTTATCCCACAACTTTCATTTGAAGAGGCTGTTTTGATCTTCAAATATCCTCAAAGATCATCTCGATATCAAGATATATGGATATGAGAAAAAATAGATTTCAAGTTTTAGAAATAATATATTTTACAAAGTATTTTTGGACTGTCAATTTTCAAGTTTTTATAGATATGTCGATCTACATTATTTTTTAATCTTTAAACTTTATAAATGAAGATGAAAATATATTTTAAAGCTATCACAAAGATTTTCAGTATTGAAACCATATTTCTCTATACTATTTGAAGGTAAGCTTTAATTTGATTGTTTAGAGCCTAGGCTCTGTACAAACCGCACCCTTTATCTTTTATTACAATCATTCTCACTCATTCTCACTCATTAAAAGTCAAATTGGATGGCTGGGGTGAGTCACAAAGTTTTAGAAATTTTATTTTTTTTAACTGTCTATTCAATAACACTCTTACTACTGCCCATTTTAAATTCAAAGGACAATAATGATTTTGACCTCTACATATAAAAGATAAATGGTTTCTTTGTAGACAAGGGCAAGCTTTTTATGCTTCATCTAAAAAATAAAACTTATATACTTCCCTTTATCCAACCGTCCATTTTGAATGGAGGGCTAAGATTGCCCCAATCACAATGTCACATCTCTACACTATTTTATTTTTAATTTTTTTTCTATAAACTATTTAGACACCAAATTTTGGACGTCCAATCTTCTATTAAACTCGCACTAGCAAAAAATATAAAAACAATATCTCTAATAAAATAAAATTATCAAATTACCCCTGAAAGATTCAAGGGGTATTTTGGGTATTATATTTTATCAAAAAATTATTTTAAATATTTTTTATAGGTGCGACCTAATGAGAAGATGACACGTACCAAATTTCATATTCATATAATTTTTATAAAAAAGTACAAATAAAATATTTTGAGACGTCTTATCTAAGATCAAATGGTAAGTGTGTCCCTTGATCAAAATTAGACGGCTGGACGGTAGGGAAAGCATAGATCTTCTATGCTCTAGGAGAAGTATTGAAACCTTCCTTGTAAACAATCCCTTAAATCGATTGACTATTCCTATGGAGACCAACTGATTCTCGACGCCAGAAAAGACAGTTCGGTGAGTCCCCTATACGGATTGCTTGATTTTAAATCTAATTGGATTGACCTATTGAGTCTTATTGACGCGAATTGGTTTCATTTTTAGATCTAATTGGAAGTTAGCTCAAGATACGAATACGAGGCAGAACCACTATCGAGTATTTCAAGTGATTTCAACCACTCTTTGATTGCACGAACCAGCCACGGAATCCATCCATGGGGTGGTTCCAAGTAACCGGGAACCGGTCCAGGTAACCTGCCCTAATTGGGCAAGTCTTGACCAGGCTATAACTGGGCACCGGTCTGGGTAACCTACCCTAATTGGGAAAGCCTTGACCAGGCTATAACTGGGAACGGGTCTGGATAACCTGCCCTAAAGGTTAAAATAAATTCAAAGAAAAATATGAAAAATACATTTAAAATATAACTAAACAAATCCATCCAAATGAGATTAGATTAATAAAAAATTAAAAAATAGATTTTAGAAAAATCAATTTATGCCCTGGGGTGTTTTAAACTTAACTCAAAAAGATGAAAAAAATATAAAAAAAAGTATTTATAATTAGAATACTTCACAATATTTTCCAAAACAATAGACAACTTTAAAAAATACTATCGATAAACAATTTTTTATTTTAAATTTTTTATTTTTTGTATTTTATTTTATTCATTTTTTAGGTTCGGGTTGTCGAACAGTGATTTCAACACTAGCATGTCGTGCTCTTGCTACACTCTGTTTTTCTCAAAATTTCGTCCCTCCGGGACATACGAGGACCCTGTTGAAAGGTCCCTTTCCCACTTTTCTCTTATGAACAACAAAGCTACTGGAATCCCTTTCTTGACTCCCCGCAAAACTTGCAATCTGGCTTTGAAATGCTAGAAACCACTTGCTGCTTCAAAATGCATGAAACCACTTGCAGCCCACCGTAAAACACCATTCACCCCCGCTCTCTCTCATCCATTTATGATGTGCTTTCATCTCAGCAGTTACACAGAAACCCGCATTTTTGCACTCGAGTCTCAACTCAGTTATGGCAAACTGCCTTTCTACGAAGCATCAGTTTTGGAGGTTTAAAAGAGGAAATAGAGGGGGGCTTTTTTTTTTGATGGGGTAGCAGGTTATTGTAACTGGAAAGAGAGAGAGAGGCGTACACTGTTGGGTGGCTAACGGTTTAAGGCAGTATACATATCCCTACACATTCATTTACTCCCATCTCTCTACCACAAATTCTTCCGTTCTTGGACATTCACACCCCCACCTCATTTGTTCTCTCCCCTTCTGCCTCCCCTGAGCAATCAACCGATTGTGTCAAAAATCCACTCTCTCATATCAGTCCTCCATCCAATTTAACATCAAATGAGAATAATTACCACCTCCATGTATAAAAGATACAATAGTCACTTTATAAGTAAGTACTAGCAAACAACCATAGAAATTACGTCAGCAAAAGCAACAATCCACATCAAAATCCCCGGGGACTCCCACACTTATTTCAATAATTTTTCGTTCAGTATATTGTTTTTTGAAATATCACCAATGCAGATCCTGATTCCATGTTTTTAAAACACATTGCTTCCAGTTAAAAGGATAGCAAGCACACAAAAATATTATTCTAAACATATCCTCATAATCAACGAAAGCAGAAACACAAGAGTTACCTACATAAAGTAAACCCAACATCCATTCAGGGTTTAAAAGCATACCCTTTTTAAACAAATCCAGAGATTCAAATCAAACCTAGCAGGAGCACAAGACAGAATGTGCCTCGTAACAAAATAAAAATTCTCCAACAAGCAGTAACCAAATAAAGAGTGTTGAAGGGCTTGCTTCTATCGAATGAAGCAAGCCTTTCTAGCCCCCCAGATGCAAACCAAAAACTAAATCCACTCAGCCTACATAATAATCTATCAAGTCAAATCAAATCTCTCCCCAAAACCAAGCATCAAAAGTTTCTCACTCCAAAAAACCAAAGGTCAAAAAGCTATCGGCATGGAGTGCAGAACACTCGCAAGCAAATTAAGAAACTAGGGCATCATTCAAGGACAATGCTGCCAGCTGATCCGCAGGTGCAGCTCCTTGCTGCTGCTGTTGCTGAGCAACGTTCCTGAGAACATCCATGGCTTCAGCAACCTTTGCTTTCAAGGCATCAGGGGACTCCAAAAGGTGGAGCACCTCAGTCTGGTCCATCTCCAAGAGCATCCCAGTCACCTTTGCCGCATGGTCGTGCTCCAATTGGTCGACCAGAGGGTACAGACTTTCCCCAAGCATCTAAAATCAAAACCCGTTTAATCAGGACAACAAAATAAAAGCAACCATCACCTGAACGTGCCAAAAGCTGTAAAAGATTGCAAACTATAATAATGATGACTACGGAAAAATAATAAACCATTGGGTCATCACTCCCCAATCTCATTGCAGGGAACATGTCAAATTCTGGTGGATCCAATTCTGAGTAAACATCCATTGATTGGACTATGTTACCTAAAGGTCTATGCTAAAATCCCAGAGACTGAAAAAAGCCATCAGTAAGGTTTATGGTGATGGGTAGAGAGAAAGGAAGGCCACCAGAACATGACATGTTCTCTTTGGGAAAACCGGAACATGGCAGGCATTCTTTAGTAAATACCCATACACAGCGTATGACCAAACAGTGGGTGCCACTTTCTCCCAGCCCATCTATCGGTGGCATATAGACAACCCATGGTCCATAGTACATAGCATAATTTCCCTTAAGAGGATTTATAGCAAGCTCACTATTTAAAAAAGGGAACATGAAAAGAAAGCAACATCATACCGTCCTCTGCTGTTCGGGAGTAGCATTGGCAAGAGCTGAAGCCAAAGCCCCAATTGGAATGGGCTGCGAGATTCCTGACTCTCGCAGTGGCACACTCCCCATGTCATATGGAACAGAGAGCATGCCTCCAGCAACACCAGGCAGTGGAACATCTGGCATGTTACGTCCAGGCGGGTAGCGGTAAAGGCGTCCTCTAGGTACCATCTGTATAACAATATATTAGAAAACAAATCAGAATTGTCTTGACAAGAGAGAAAGAGAAAGAGATGAAACAGAACCAAAAATTTATGTTTCATGTTGAGGCAAGAAAGGCACCTGCTGCTGAAGCAATGGCAATGGTTGCTGTGTCTGCTGCAATGGTGCAGCTCCACCACGCCTTCCCCCAGGTCTCTGCCCCCCTTGCTGACCCTGTTGGACCAAAGGTACAAAGAAGTTTGGAATAGGAGCACCACCAGGCCTCATGCCAGGGACAATTTGTTGCTGGTAACCAAACCCGGGCTGTCACGGTTTATAAAATAAGAATTGTCAATCTAAAGAATCATATATCAAATCCTTGTGTACAATGACAACTCATCCATATATGGATGATGGATGGGAATGCATGCATTACCAATTCAACTGATATATATCATATTCCTCTTTCAAGACTAGAAGAGTGACCCAGAAGAATTAAATAAAAAAGAGAGTAAATCAACACATATGGACAGGTTACTATTCGTAAAAAGCTTTACCCATTAAAATGCAATCAATAAAGTGAGAAGATCCTAAAAGTCAAATAGATTGCAAACTTATGGCATTCAAAGAGGACGGTGTAGTATCAAAAATATGTGAAAGCACATGCCTGCAGGTCCACAGATACATGCATAATAGGCAATGAAAAATCACCTAGCCTTACATTTTCAAGCCTACATATAAAGCTCCATCCGTTCCCAACAAAGCATGCCATATTGTTATAGATGTGCTCGTAAGCACCCATAAAGATCCACACCCAACCGCATGCAAGGAAAAAAAATGAATGCACCCTAGGAGTGCCCACAACCTGGCATGTGTGTCAGTGCAGTTTTGTAGCATATGTAAATCATTATACAAATGCAAAAGATAAGCTGCCACGGATTCAATTTCAAGTTAGAATGGCTACAAATGGGGCAAAACCAACTGGGACTAAGAAACCAATCCCGTTAGGCTACCCCTCGTATGTTGAGCTTTCCAACCATGCAGGTGCACAGTAAAAATATGTTAAACCCATGGCTTCATGTATTTTGGTATGCACATATTATACGGGAACAGTGATGCAAATTATCTTCATACATGAGAGAGAGAGAGAGAGAGAGAGAGAGGAGGGAGCTCATAAATGTGGAAGTGTAGCTTGTTTGTCATTATGTGGCAAATGAGATAGCAAACATACTAATACACATTGATGCCCAACCACATAAATATTGTCATCAACGCTTGTTTATAGCCCCAGCATCAATTTGTCACATGCATATTAGGAAAAGTATATAAAGAAATCATTAATTTTAAGCACTCTTCTCCGTCAGATTTCAAATTGGATAGTTGTAAGAGTGTTATGAACTAGACTCAGAGTTCAAAAAAAAAAATTCTTGAATTTTGTGACACACCACAAGCCATCTAATTTGACATTTAATGGCTACAAGCAAACATGACCTTGTAACAAAGATAAATGGTCTCAATAGTATACAATCCCCACATAATTGCTACTTAAAAATTTCCACATTTATTTCCAATTTTTTCAATTCTTCCATTTAATTTGTTATGAACTTCCGCAAATGGCATTTTTTTAAATTCATAACTTACTCCTAAGCAATGTGTAAGAACTGAACCGGACAGGTCGATTTGAAGGATTTGGGGATTCCCCTCACCCCCTCCCTCCTCCCTCCCTCCCTCCTCCCTCCCTCCCAAAGAACCAAGGGCCAAAGAACAATCAAAATCTTTGCCACAATCTATTCTCTCGAAAAGGCCTGAAAATGCAAAACCACAAACTGTGGGAGGTTTGCTTAAGTTTTTTTGTTTTGGATTTAAATGTAATCCCACGGGTTCTATTTGGCGGCATAAAAAAAGACTATTAAAGAAACATGTTTGCTTACAATTTTAAGGCCTTCTACATTTTCTAAAAGCCGCAAAATGCAAAACCCTAATTACATAAAAATAATAATGAGAAGAAAGGATTGTATGACTGTTCACCTTTGTTACAAGGAGGTCACAATTGCTACTAGCCATTAGATATCAAACTGAGTGGCTTGGCGTGTGTCACCCATTTTTTTTTTTTTTTTTTGTGAATTTTTTAGTCTAGTCAATGTTCAACCACCCGATTTGAAATTTGACAGACGAGAGAGTGTGGTCTCCTTGTATTAAAAGGTAAATGGTCACCCTGTAAACTCTTCATAATAACAATTAGTGCTTGCAATTCTTTTTCTTTTTTAGTTTGCATTTTTTGTTTTAAAACTTTAAGGGCTTTTACAAATTGTACAAGTCCTTATAAGTATAAACAAAAATCAATAAAATAAAAACAAAGACGTCTTCGATTTTTTAAACTTAAGGGATTTTGTAAAACCCCTTAAAAAGTTTGTTTATTTATTTGTTTGATAATTATTTTTTTACTTATTTTATATTTTTTTCATTACTCTCCCTTTTTAAAATTTTCCCTTGCTATTCACATTTTTTTTTTTTCTAAATATCAAATTCCAACCAGAGTGGTACCTCACCTATTCAATCACCAATCCAGTTTTAACAACATCAGTCCTAAGACATCCGTTATAACAAACCATCACCAGAGCTATTAAAGGTCCGGGCCAGCCCTAGCCTGAAACACCCACGGAACTGTGCAAGGTAGACTAGGGCCACCCAAACTCATGATAGCCACGCCCGAGTAGGGCCCAGCCTAAAAAAATCTGAAATGGATGCATTTTGGGTCTATAGAGAGTGAGAGAGCAAGGGGTTTGAGTAGTGGAAGCTTATATTTGATATAGGTGGAGAGAGAGAAATCTATCGACTTGGGAAGAGAGAGAGAGGTCAGGGTCTTCTAGTCTGGTAAAACTGGGTGGAGAACGAATTTCCAGGAAGTATTTTGGCTCTTAGGTTTGGGAAGAGAGAAACATAATTAGAAAGGATATATTCAGGTTCTCTGGTTTGGCAGAGACAGACACAGAGAGAGAGAGGTCATGGTCTGGGTAGAAAGAGACCTCCAGGTCTTCCGACTTAGGCAAAAAGAGAAACGACCAAAAAGGGTATTTCTATAAAGTCATAGAAATGGGGCATTAAATAAAGGGATTTGAGAAATTGTAGGTGGGTGAATTAGGAATTTTACAAAAAGGAGGATATTTTGAAGTTCCTAAGAAATATTAGTGCCAAAAGTGAGGTTTTACTCATCATTCCATCATAGATATGAGAATTAAAAGTTCCCTTTGAGATATGGTGCAAATGCCTCAGTATATAGGAGAGGGGAACATAAGCAGGTTCAAGCATGTAGAGTGCAAATTAATTCCGGTATTCACATGTAGATTTGAGCAATAAATCAGACAAAGAGGGAAGGCCAAAGGAGAAGAAAGAATGGGACCCCAAGGACAAGTGCGCCTGGGAGGTGGGGGTGGGGGTGGGGGTGGGGGTGGGGGTGGGGCAGGTTGTGGAGTGAAAGGACAAGTGAGAGGATCTCTTGATCTTTTGTTATGGTGCATAGAAAAAATATTTGGGCGTTCAATAGGCTGGGACTTTTGACTTAATAAAATACCATAGCATAACAAAAACTAAACCTACCGCATAAGCTTTCCATTTTCAAGATGACCCTTTTAGGCATGTCTGACCATGTGATGATATATATGATACTGGAGTTCCACAGCGAATCTAAAATAGGATGTGGCGCTTTTGGCACAAGAACACATAAATTTTGTTGTATCAAATATCAACCCAAACCTTAACAAACATCATAAAACCCGAGAACTATAATTTCAAAAACCAGCAAACTCATCACCTTGAATGTCGAGATTGAATAAGCATAATGCTGAAGTAAATGAAATCTTCAGATTAGCCATACAAAGATATAGACTCAAGGCCCAGTAAGATTACCTATTCAACCAGCCTCCTAAGCATAGGTATAAGGGATGTCAATGATTCAAAACTGTAACGTTCTTTGCACAAATCCAAATGGTAGATATGTTTACTCACAGTTGTACCATATTCAACTGCAACCCAAGTTTCACCAGTTCAAACCTTTGACCTAAGGACACCACGAATAGTAGCTCCCACAGCATCACAAGGTCCAGAGGTTGATGATCACGGTTCTTTTTTTCTTTTTTCTTTTTTTTTATAAGGTTAACCTTTGATCATGATTTTTCATGTCCAAGACTCTTAATGGTGAGATTATGAAGAGATTATGATGACAATCCACTCCACAAAGAACATTAAAGCAATGACTCTCTGGGATGCCCAATTTACAATCTCAAGATGATATCTAAAAGGACTCAGCATTCTGTGCACATGCTACAGACAACAAATGCCACAGGATATATTATCACCATTTGGTTTGACTACTTGAGAACAAAAGCCACGTTCGAATGGACGAAGATTTATCCTACAGCAATAGGGTCACGTTTTAGAGTTTCTCGGACCAAATCTCAGCATAACTCCAGATTTTTTATCCAGAATTCTGCAACAGCATTTTTTAGCAGATTATCGCAGCTCACCTGGAGTATCTCACAAGGCATGACTAACATATGAGATCTAACACTAAGGTGACAAGCTTTCTTCCCATAGATAAGAGAGATTTTGACACACAAATATATAACTTGGGCAAATTATATTAAATACTCCCCTGATTTCACATGAGTGAGACTACAGTAAGAGTTGATGCCTACTTCAAATGGTTTGAAGAATGTGACCACCATATAGAGAAATGGAAGTAAGAGTCATGGAAGGGAAGAAATTCTTTGATAACAAAATCTGTACATTTAAACTTGAAGACAAAAGGAATTCACAAGCACATTGGATATTTTAGGTATGGCTGAAATCCCATTTAAGATTTGACAAAACTGTTCTATAATTGAAACCTTCACATAAAAATCAGCAAAATTTGGTTTTATATTTGGAGAGATCCATGGCCTTCTCCTAGGCTTTATCAATGGATATCTAGACATACACTCTCAGCATTCCATATAAAATTCTGTCCACAAAATTATTTGGGATTTTATTAATGAAGCAGCAGTAGAAACCTGTTAAGCCTGATTTTGCAGCCCCAGATTAGGTTCAGCTACTAATTCAATGGATAAGGGCAAGTTTGTGTAGCACCACTGTAGTTCAAGTATTTTATCAATTTCGCATTTCGCAAGTAGAAAAATGAGTTCCTGTTAAACAAGGTAACGAAAGCGGTAATATTTTAAGTCCTAAAACCTATGCGCTAGGGGAGTCGAACACTATTTTGACTCCTTTTAGATTCCTACAATCACTTCTGCCCTAAAAATCACCCCAAACACCTTTTAAGATGAATCATTGGAATAACAATCTTCTGCAATGGGTACGCCTTTGTTGTATATAGAGAAAATCAAAATGTATAGATGCATAATCATTATAATATTATGCAATTCACTGACACAAGGCAAGCACAAAAACACAACCATGTCAACCATATATCAAAAATATATTTGTTCTTTGGTTTTGCAAATATGCCCAAGGTTTGAATTGTCACCACTGACCTACCCAAGCAATCTTCATAAGGCTATCATGTGAGGGAATTAAAAAAGCATTACAGATGACATGTAAAACTTGTCCAATCTAAATTCACAGGATAAGATAATTTTCTGCAACAGGCATGCCCATATACAGAAAGCACAAGTACATACATAGGCAGATAATATGCAATTTACTGACAAGGCAAAGAGCACCAAATGATAGCATTGTCAATCATACATCAAATTGCTTTTATTTTGGTAGGTCAAAAGCAGTATGCAAAAACAAGAGTCCAAATTCCATGGCTGACCTCCCCAAACAATGTTCCATTAGGTTATCAATTGAAAGAATAAAAAAACACATTCCAGATGATATGTATAATTTACGTCTAATCTGAATTCCCATGATACCAATGCCAATAAAATGGTAAATAAAAAGGACCATAATATTATCCCAACAAAAAACAAAAAAACAATTGCAGAAAGATGCATGCATAAAGGCCACCCGCACGAAGGAATGTAACATTTTGCATGAGAGATACATGGAAATACAAGACCTGCCAATTTATAGTAATAGAACTACCTGTGGTGGAATAAGCGCCGGTGGACCTTGACCATAGAATAATTGCTGTCCCATTCCAGGATTGCCTGGAGGATACAATGGCATGCGGGGGGCTACAGATGGCGCCAATGCAACCGGTCGCATTTGAGAGAACTGGGCCTATATGCCAACAGAAAATGCTTAATAAGAAATCCCATCAACACAATCTCAAATTCTTCAAGTTTTCTTGAAAATTTTCAAAGACACAGCTATCAGTTCCAAAGCATAAACCTGCAATCTTGCTCTTCTATCTTCTTTACGCTGTGCAAGTGCTACATACAGAGGCTTGCTAACAACAATCTTTCCATTCATCTCCGCAAGCTATTAAGCAGATATTAATGGTACCAATAGTTTCAGAAGTCTATTATTGAAGTCACAAATGCACTGAAGGAAGCCACAACTTCCAGCAGCAGCAAAATTAATAAAAATGTAAACAAAAAAAATGCAACTTACAGCACGGGATGCTTCCTCTGGAGAAGAGAAAGCCACAAATCCTGAACCTCTGCTTATCCCATTTGGATCCCTCATTACCTGTTAAAAGGACTTCAATAAATAAGCTCAAAGAAGAGAGCAGAGCCAAGAAATACAGCTAAAGCATAGAGATTAAGCAACAACTAATTACCAGTCCCTGGTTCTAAACAACACCTTATGCTTACCTTGCATGATGTTATTGTACCAAACTCAGAAAACAATTCTCTCAGCTTATCATCACTGATGCTATCATCCAGATTCTTCAAGTACAGGTTTACACCTTGAAATTTGTCAACTATGTCCTTCATAGTCTGCTCAAATCGCCCTTTTAGCTCTTGTTCTCTTTCAGATTTCTTCTGGGCTTTTCCAACATACCATTCCTTATCATCAAATTTCTTCCCATTCAATCCTTCAACAGCTCTTGCAGCATCATCCGCATTCTCAAAATTAACAAAACCAAAACATTTGGACTTTCCATCACTTTCCCTCATTACAACGACACTGGTGATTGTTCCGTACTCGCCAAAAATAGTTTTCAGGTCCTCCTCAGTCGTGGACTCCGATAAATTTTTCACATAGACATTATTAAATTTTGTCTTGTTAGTAGCACTCTCTCGATCCTGCTTACGAAGGAACGGACCGACATAAACTTGTTTGTCGTTTATGAGCATGCCATTCAGCTTCTCTATAGCAGTTTGGGCAGCTTCCTCACTATCGTACTGCACAAACCCATAGCCTTTAGACTGACCAGATGCATCTGTTGCAACCTTGCAGGAAAGGATGTTACCAAAGGCGGAGAATGTTTCATGAAGTGCCTTGTTATCAATTGCCTTATCCAGGTTCTGCGTAAGTGTATTCACCAAAAGTATGAAACATGCTAACAGGCGATTCTTTTTTAGTAAAGAAAATGCTTGCTAGACAGCAGCTTCCAGCCACAACTTTCACTAGCATACACTAAAAATGCAATAAGCTAGAAAAGAAATAGGCATCAATAAGATAACAATCGAAAGAAGGAAAAAAACACTGCACAATAAAATGCTCTCAATAAAATGCTCTCTCATAAGCACACCTTAATAAATATATTGGCAGCTCCGCTTTTACGAATACTCGGATCCCTGTGAGAATACATTATTCGAATAGGTTTCCCATTGAGTATGGTGAAATTCAGCACTTCCAACGCTCTTGCCGCTGCCATCAATATAAGAAACAAAAGAAGTAAGAAATGGCACAATCAAAATATAATGATACCATCACGAAGCGAACCAAGATAGGGAAAAAAATAGATAAAAGAGCTACAACAACTTTTCACAGGCTCCATATTGGCAAGGAATTTTTTCTTTCAAATGTACTGCGAAAAATGGAATTCAAATGCATAGTCCAAGCTAGTCCAACATGTGAGAGAAGACCCCAGATAAGAATCTTGAAACTAGTATTGTTTATTGTTAATGTAACGAGTCATGCAACAAAATTTAAGGACATGGAAAACATAATACAGAAGCGTCATTTATACCTTTTCTTTAAAATCTGATTCTTATAATTCTGTTTGTTATCTGCATAATATTGTCATGTTTCAGTCTTCATATAAAAATATAAAGAAACACCAACCATAAAGATGCAAATCCTAAAAATTTAGGCGAGATATAAGTTGACACATAGTGGAAGTAAATATTATTTCAAACTGGAGTATATGGGGGACAAAATCAAGCTTGCTAATAGCTGCACACAATTTAAACGCATGACATATGCAGTGAGCATTTTGGAGTATTTAGATCGAACAATACACGAGAAACATTGGAGTATTTAGATCGAATAATACATGAGAAACAGAAGACAACAAATGGAATAGGAATGAGCAAAGGGAAGACCAGCAGTGGTGACTTTCATTGTGCCTCAAGTGTTGCAAAATGTACTTCTATAGTGATGAATATCATCAGTGCCATCTCAGAATAAAAGGAAGTTAAACGTGCTAAGGCATGGAAGTTCTTTAATATTGTCTGAACTTGTTATTTTTTATGACATGGCAATATTGGAATTCTGGGGGAAATATTTTCTTCAATATTATCTCCTTATTTTCCGCTAGTTTAGCAGTAGAATTCAAACTTGGGATATTATGTTCAATCATCAACACATTAAGCAACCAAGCCCAAGCCCACCTCCTAGAACATTACAATATTTTGTCTTGGACTGGTAAGCTGTGGATTGGAACCCTTGACATTATGTTGTGATTTCTCCAACCTAATCACAGAGTCAAGAGCTCCAATGCACTCTCAATTTTGAAAAATGGATGGAAGAAAGCAGTGCATACTGATGCACCAATCCAATAAATATATCAATAATAGGCATCCTCCTAAAGAATGCCACCAGACCCATTCAATCATGTCTCAAAAAGTCAACTTGTGAAAAGATGCCATTTTAAAACAGAGATCCAAGAAGCAAAAACTTCAATCGCACTAAAAAAATAACCAACTTCTTCCCATCACTTTCAGCAATATTATTTTTTGATATGCTAACACGTAACACGAAAGAGAATTTCACAAACATTTTGAATCATCCATTCACTATATAGGTAGTATGTTCTCCATAGATATTTGAAAACGGAACATGGATGATTTCCAGTAATAACATTATTGCAATAATTTCAAGGAGGTTCTCATAGGCCTGTTTAAGGAAATCTGCCATCAAAAAGCCCATGATGAAAGAAATATGGTTTGGACAAAGCATTTACATCGGTCACAATAGAGCTCTCAATTCATTTCCATATTCTGCTGAAAATTCTATTGTGTATCCTCCCAACTTGACAATTGCACCACAGGCAAACTCCTCAAGGAACAATGGCTAATGGAATTAAATTTCCTGTATGTTCAAACTCTTTCAAGTTCGTACATTAAAACTTGACTCCTGAATTCATGAAATCCTCGTCTAGTTTCAATACAGTTTATATGACTTCTTGATAGATCAAAAGAGGAATACTAACATATCCAGAAAATGAATCATCAAAAAGAAAAGATTTCTATTACCATCACAAATTGCTTGGTCCTATAGTGTGATCCAAAGGAAGCTGCAGGTTACTTTAATTTAGGCCTTAACTGAAAAAGAACACGTATTTTAAATGGAAAAGTTCCATATAGTCATCATTGTCACTCTTCAACTTCTTAGGAAGGGAAAAATTTTTGATGGTTAATTCTTCTTGTTTTCTTTTTTGGGAATATGCTAACTTCAAGAAGGGGAGGGGGCAAGCAATAAATACATTAGAAAGTTTCCAGCACAAACAATCGAAAATGTGTCTGAATACTATATGGAATCCACCACCAATATATCATACTAAGATAGAAGATTGTCCCTTAGCGAGGCTTCTTAAAACTCTGCAATATTATATTCATGACAAACAGGCATACAATCAAAGTGCAATAATACGGTCAAAGAAAGCAACTGATGTGATAACTTTCAAAAACTGAAACCTATCAGCTCAAAAGAAAAACCCTTCCACATAAACCATAGACAGGTAATAAGCAAGGGCAGCAATGAAGAGTGTTCCAAATAAACGCATAACAAAAAGAAAGCTTAACAATTCCGTATGTGCATGCATCAGCAAACAGTTCCATTGCCCAATAATAAATTTCCCTAAAGAAACCACCAAAACCTTGAGCTTCATAAATTTATCTTCAGAAGCATCAAAGAAGAGGACAAAAGTGTTTCACAATTATCAAGATAGATAAAATCCCCAATTACTATGCAATATTAAAGACATCATCCACACCAACAAAATAGAAGCGTTCTCTCCACAAAATAAGTGACTTACAATCCTGAGTGTTGCTATAGTTCACATAGGCATAACCAAGAGAGCGCCTGGTGCTCAAGTCCCGGCAAACACGGACCGACACCACCTGGCCTAGCTGGCTGAAGAGATCATAGAGCTGAGAATCAGTGACGTTCGCTTCCAAGTCCCCAACATACAGAGATGTCGAAACAAACTGGTTCCCACCATTGTTAGCCGCATTCTGAGCCGAGAGAGGGGGTTGGGGTTGGATTTGAACCTGAGCCATCTCCAGATCTTCTTCTTCCTCTTTTTTGGGTTTTCTTTTTCTTCTTTTTTTTCTTTTCCCTTTCCTCTTCTTATTGACCAGAGACAGAAACCCTAGCTGAGGTTACCACACGAGGGATGAAGTAGTAAACCCTAATCCTAACCCTGACTTTGACAGAGACAGACAATCTGATTGATTCTTCAGCCAAAAGCACTCACTGATATACCTCTTCCCCCCCTGAAAAAGATTTCAGAAAGGGAACCCGAGATAAATGATGAAGCCCTAACAAAAACCGACACACAAATTTTGAACTGGTTTTTTGTTTTTTTGGGCTAAAGAGAATCTCTGAGAAATTCTAGGGTCTACTTTTTTTGGGGCTAAAGAGACTCTCTGAGAAATTCTAGGGTTTTCTTTAGGGTTGATGAATGGGATCACCTGGAGAGAGAAACTGACATGAAAACACAGGATACTGAATTTTTTTTGTTTTAGGTTTTGGAAAGAGGAGGATGAGGAGGACAGGGAAAGTTTGGGAGGGCAGCCAGCACTGCACCGCACCCGTTCGGTCTTGACCCGATCGTTTTTATATAGTGCCTGCAAAACCCTAATTTAATTTTCGTTTCGATTCCACCGGTAGGAATCCGATATAACCACGTCGTAACATAAACCGGGAACTGACGAGAGGTTTCGTTTCCTCTGACTAATTGCTTCGTTATTATTTACCCAAAAGATTGCCCAGTAATTACTAAACTGCCCCTAGGGTTTCCTCATCATGGCTGATTTTGGGATGATGTAAGTCATTTCAATGCGATTTTATGGGGCACGCGATACAGTTTGTGATGGTTTCAGTAACGTCATGAGATTCTCCCCTTGGGCTGTGAGGCATGCTAAATATCAATCCCCCCTTTAAAATTAGGGCTCAATTTTTTGGTTCGGGCTTAGATTCTTTCAAATCTGGATTTAAAGCCGAAAAGTATATATCGGATCTGTAGATCCATAATATTTAATCCAAATCTAGATCTGAATCTAATATGGAACCCACATCCAAATCCGTTCCAATTTTGTACATATAAAATTAAAATATAATTATAAAAGTAACTTTATAATTAACTTTCTAATTTTGTACATATAACTTTTCAAAATTGCCCTTACTTAATTATGAATATATCACAAAAAGTAATTTTTTAAAAAAAAATAGACTACAAAAATAATAAATCCATCATTCACAAGTCTCTCTATCTTTAACCTTTTGTAATTTGAAGGGCTGTAAAGTTTAGATTATCCCTAATATATATGTATATTATTTTTAAAAGTCGGGTCGGATCCACATCAGTTCCACCTATACTCAGATTCGACCCAAATTACTATTCAGATCTAGATGTTGAACTCATATCTGAATTTTGGATCCAAAACTTAGATCCATACCTGGATCTAGATAGGATACGAATTTTGAGTTTCGGATTCATCCTGGGTAATTTCTCAACCCTACTCATAATGAATGTGTTGATAAATTTTTCAAATATACTCCTTTTTTAAAAAAAATTAATTGATACTTATGGAAGTTTTATATCAAAAATTCAAAAACATTATAAAATTTTGTGGCTTGTTTGGGACACATTCTCAAAGGAAAGAGTGTGATGGCAAACTAAGTCTCCATGAGTCACTCTCTCCTTCAAAATGAATCTGTTGATAATTTTTCAAATATACCCCTTGTGTATTTAAAATTATTTAATATTTGTGGAATTTGTATTGCAAAATAATTATTGAAATTCATAACTTGCTTGAGACAATAATTAATGGTGGTTTGGAACTTGACCCCAAATCGAGGTTTTACTAATACATATTTTTGTTGATTCTAGTATATATAAAAGTTGGTGTTGAGCACAATGTTGTTTGGCTGGCTGCAGGAAGAACCCAGAATACATGTAAGCTGGTACGTTACCCTGTTTGGCGCCATGAAGATGAAAACTAGTTTTTGGTTGTTTCATGTTAATGCAGTTTAGCCGCTGATTCTTAAAGTCAATGATTTTGTAGTAATACATAGCCAATTAAAACTATTTTTTGGGAATAAGTCATCCATCATGTAATAAATAAATTAGAAGGTTCAAATCATATTTTTTTGGATTTTTATAGGTCGAAATATGATTCTCTCTCTCTCTCT